AACAGCTCGAGTGCTACGTTTTCTAAGCATTTTGTCCGAAATTCGTTATGGTTGCGAAGTAAGAAGCAAAAATGTGAAAAAAATTGGTTATTTTCAAGTGCGCCAACGGTGGAGGAGGAAACTTTCGATTGGTTTTTTCCTGGAATGGGTTTATCTATGGCAGGAAACTAAGTGGGTTCTTTTTGAACATCCCCATCTTTAAATAGTTTGCCAGCTGGAATGCACGCGACGGGCCGAACAATGAAATTTGTATATTTTGGAACAGAAAACCGATCTTCCGCACGTTGTGAAGTCGATATGGTTGAAATGGGGCCCGGCATTCTTCGCATCTTATCATCGAAATATCGAAACGTTTTCCCTCCGTGGTTAAAACCGGGCGTTCTTCTTACTGAAAAAGCCGATAACCATCTAAACGTGTATCGAACAGTCCGGTCATTTTACCTAATAGATTGTTGAACGTTGTTGTTTGTCGATCGGGATCGCTGCCTTTTGGCATTTGACAAATCATTTCGGTATCGAAATTGACATGCTAATGACGAGGCGATTTTTAATGGTTTTTAATTGATGGCCAATCGGTTTGTTTGGCTCTGGCCCCGGGCCACACATTGGCTGGAAATCGACCAACGACCATGACACGGAATACTTTTGTTGGGAGCCGTTCAACTTTGGCGCGGTTTATTCGCATACACTGCTCGACATTTGAAAACACCCACAGAGGGCAAAAAAGCGCGCAAATCGATCCGACCAATTTGCTGAAAGTCGTTCTAATCCTATTTACATTGTGTCGCCTTGTCCTACACACGGAAATCCATCTGGTAATTCCCGACTTACCAGCGGAATTATCACTTGTCCAGGGCCGCACGTATGGGGCTTTGCAGAATTCCAAATACGTTCCGAAGTGGATTTGCAATTATTGGTGCAATCGGCTGGTTTTCACCCATCATTAGAAATAATTTTATTCCGATCCGACACTCGCTGATCGGGCCGCCGATTTCATTACAATTGTAAATGGCTGCGGTTTTTCGTTTTTTCCCGATTTTTCCTACTCTTTTTTCAGTTTCGGTGAATAAAACATGCACCGCATTACCGGCCGAATGGAGATCGCACATTTAAACACGCTTTCATGGACAGACACGTGCAAACCAGCTCCAACTAGTCCGTTGATATTCAGGTATTCAAAACAGTCAATCATCGGTCACTTGGATGCAAACCAGTCGCTTTTTCTGCATTCAAATCGGCAAAAACACTAGAAGAAGCGACCACTTGGCTACTGCGAGCTGTTGGGCGCGCCCAACTTATGCAGGAATAACCCAAACTAGCAGACGTTCATGAGTTGATTATTGCTGCATGTCTTGGGCGCGCTGCCCACTTTCAACTGATGATCTTCGTGCATTAACAACTGAATACGGACCGAACTCTACATACCTAGTAGGATCTACACAACGAGTTAAAACGTGGCTAATCCCCCAATATGTACTACACAATATCTCTAAATAAGTAAGTAAATAATAAAATTTTGTACGTACCAGAAAATCAATGGACTTGTCTTTTAACTGAAAACAAAGAATACTTTAGAACACGATCGCAACCAATTACAATCCTACTAGATACGTAAACAGTCATTAAATCACATGTCTGCAGAAAAGGCCCCACATATACAGGGTGTTCGGTGGCAGCGGACCGAAACGGCAGTGTTAGTTTGTTCGTTAACCATCGCATTAATTCGAATAACCAATCAGCTAAGCATTTTATCGGGCCAAAAGCTGTGGATCGTTTGAACATGTCCCGAAAACCCATAAATAACGCAACGGTTGTTTCGCTCTTGTTTGTTTTAATTATTATTGTTATTTACAGTCGACGCGGCCCGCGCTAATTAATGTTTGAACCCGATTGGGCAATTTTTATCTGGCCGATTTGCAGTTGGCGTTTTATTGGTAAACAGCCAAGTGGCCGATGAACAAATAATCAACAACATTAACCGATGCGCTGCTTTTATTGCCCGGCCTTCATGTGCAACGGTTCCCGTTTAATTGGTGCAAATTCCATAGAGATTGTCGATGGACTTGGATGGGTCACTTCAAGTGGGGATCAGTGATTTTGGGCGGCTGGAATCGAGAAAACTGTGCTCAACTTTTGGAGTGGCCAGTAGAGTTTTTCGGTGTTTGGGAGTCGATTCAGCTGGGGCTTAGGGGATGGATAAGTATCGGCAAGCGTGCATTGCTGGAAGATGTTTTTTGGCTAGATATTCCAACCTGTTTGAGTTGAAATAGTGCCAGAGGCTTTTATGGCGAGCTGAACGAATGAAGTAGTTTGGGCGCAATTAATTGTTGAAATGTTCATACACTTGACTAAGACACTTTTCCTGCTCAATTCTCAAGGGTCTGAAAAATCGGACGAAAAGTTTCCTTTGACGACTTTCCGCGGGTTTGAACACCGACGTTTTTTTGATGTTTTCGACTAAAATTCTGGCTTTTATCTGCTATAGTTTGTGCGCAATAAATTGCTAAAATATTCATGCCTTTATCTCAGGTCCTTTTCCTTCGCAACCTTTAAGCATCTGAAAGTTCAGGATGGAAGTTTAAAATAGCGACATTCGCCGGGTTTAACTGGTGTTTTCAGAGAAAAATATTGCTTTGTCATCAACCCTTTCCTGCTCGACTCTTAAGCATTTGAAAATTTACAGAAAACGTTTTCAATACATGTACGTTTTCCGAACACAAAAAATCACAAGTGGACGATTTTCGCAAAAAGTCAAGTTCCTCAAAACGCGTCGATTTGATTTGATCTGATTTACCGACTTATTAATTTAAAAAAAAATTCGCAAAATGAAGCAAAGATGGTAATTTTTCGTTTTATATGCGTAAGTATTTCAATAGGAAAAAAATCAACATTTTCTCATACTCTACAACCCCTTGAAAATGGAATTTTGAATCACCCTGTACAGTTCCAATGCAAAAAGTGTGTTTGTGTCCATTATTCAAGTGCCAAACGCATTTGTTTGATTGCTTGGCACCAAACTGGCCCAAAACTCGTCGAATTTGGTCACTTCAGCGAGTCCTGTTTAAATAGACACGAAAACTCTTAATAGAGTTGTCCGGAAGATGTAAATATTTGCAGAACCGCTGCCAAACCTTCAGGCCGATTCTCCGAAACGTTTGCAAATCGCTTTTTCTTGCCCTTCAGGACAATGGGTCTCTTAATGTGCGCATGACGATTAAGGGACATTGTTGACATAGAAACTAGTGGGTTTTTAGGCCGTCGTAAAATTGAATTTCTTCCCGACGTTTCGCAAGCACGAGCGGCTTGCATCCTCAGAAGTGGTCCCTTGAACGCTGACACTGTTCTCATCAAAACCCGATCAGTTCTTCGGCAGAACTGACTTAGTGACAATGAATAGCCTCGAAAGTCTCTCTTTTGATAACAATTATGATTAAGAACGATTTAGTATCGCGTACAGACAACAACTAGATTGAAACTAGTGGGTTTTTCGGGTTTTTAGGATGTCGTAACATGGAATTTCTTCCTGACGTTTCGCAAGCACGAGTGGCTTGCATCTTCAGAAGTGGTTTGCTTGAACGCTTACACTGTTCTCATCAGAACCCGAT